TGTATAGTGTGGCAACCGCTGAGTGACTCAGTGATGGAAAAGGGCCAACACTCCGCTTTAGATGAGTCTTTCGAACTGCAGTAAATTTCTAGCACTGGGCGAGTCCGCGAGGGCAGCGTACGCATTTTGACGCGCTACGTCGCGCTACTTCGCCCTGTCATTGAATAGCGTTCCAGTGCTATAGACGGGAAGGCAGTCATGGACAGGTATTGATCGACGCCGACTGCCAGTGTTTCGAGAGAGTATAGGGGAATAGGAAGGTAAGCGCTGCCTAATCACGCGGTCTTGTACCCTCCTGTTCTTCTATACTTTCTCAGAACATTTGAGCCGACGTCGTCGATCGATACCCGTCTGCAGCTGCCTTCCTACTGATGCACTGGAGCGCTACTGCAATGTTTGCGCGTGAGGCGCGTCATCGCGAAGTCTAACTGTTGCTGAAAAAGGCACAGTCGACGAAACAAGGAACGGTACCAGACGAGGGCGAAGGCCGCATTGTCGCATACTAAAAGCATACCAAATACGATCGCCCATCGCGACACTGTCATAGTCATGGGAGTGAATATAGTAGGTAAGGCTCCCCTAGCGCTGTTTGACACGCACGGCTACGTTCCTGCATACTTCATATAAGGAATAACTTCTATCCCAGATAATCGAGGGATGGATCCCGTCAGCTCGTCCCCGTTCCAGATGGAACGGGCGGACGAATGTTTGGGCTATGACTTCATCCGTCTTATCGTGGGCGCTACTGACACCACAACTAGATATCAAGAAAGTTCGCGGCATCATGAGGTTCCTTTTGTGTGAGAGGCGAAACAGAAAATTATGTGAAGTGCACCTTCTCATGTTTCTTTCAGTGATTCAGAGAGATGGCAATTACCACATTAAGAGGGCACTTCATTAAGTGGGGATTTTTAGTTCGGGCTCGGCGATAGCGACTCGCACCTTCTTTGGGGTTTCTCAATTAGGCGCAACGCCCCCCCCCTCAGGCCGCTCTGTCCCTCCTCATAGAATCGTAGGCCGTCTGAGCGGCGTGGGGGGGGAGGGGGCAGGGGGGGCTAAAGAGCGCACATTGACAACAGGGAAAGGGCGTGAGACCATACGGCTCCCCTCTTCTACGACAATTTCAGATTTCCGCCACCTTCCTGCACTTTTTCCAATAATTTCGCTGGAAAACTTCGGCCTGCTTTTTTCAAAAATTCTGCTTGTCGAGGGGGGGGACCGGGAGGTACATAGTAGCACATAAGAACAGGAAAAGCTCACAAAAGTGACCACGCGCTGCCGTAGAAAGGCCAAAGCAGTAAATACGACCCCGCCCTCACCAAACAATGAGGGGCAAGGTACGGACCCGCCAGCCCCCTTTTTTTACAACGATCCCGTGAAAGGGCGAGAAAATCAGACTATCAAACTAAATTTTGGCGCTCAGGCGAGGGCGAGAAAAATACGACTCCCCCTCCTGGCGGCCAAATACGACCCCCACCCCCTGTTGGGGACTCCCCAACAACGATGTGCCCTGCACATTAACCTAAGTTTCAACAACAGACGTCAGGATTGCATATTGGTAAGCGGCACTGTATATCACGCAGTTTTGGGATTCAAATCTCAGATCGGCTGCCGCCTGGGCAACCATGTTTTCCATGCCTTCGGAATTGATTGATTTCTATCTGACTTTTCTAGGAGCATAGTAACACTGGCTTGTTAAATGGCCAGTTCCGCTGATACTATCGGCCTCATGGCTTTCCAAATGCTACTATGATTCGAATATCGATTTACTGTAAGTGGTCTTGTTTAGTGAGACGAAGGCACTGGATCGTATGTCTTGGAGGATATTCCGCGATGATATGCAGATTGTCGATGAGGAGCAAGTGAAGTCTATGGTAAACCCGCTACTTGTTACTGATTAGCTTGAAAAGACCTTTCCATATGACACATAAAAATACTGCAGACAATCATGGAGAGAAATCTTCCGTAAAGGGTAAAGGCGCAGCCCATACTGATCGTCTGCGTAGAGAGAGTCAGCTTTCCTTATTGGTGCGGTATTTTTCTGAGGCAAGGGGGACACCCATGAGGAATGCGCAATTGACTGATTGTCTCCGCCCATACGATCAGCATGAACATTAACTTCAAGGTGTCTTGCCAGCCAGTATGCCTCTGAAGATGTTAACTAATAAAGAGAAAGTACACCTTATTTCTGTATAATTCGCTTTATTTCAGCTTTCGCTGGGTTCGCAGAGGACGAAGTTGTCAAACTCGAACATGACGGTTCTGCAACATCATGCAATCATTGGAGTGAACACCCATGCAACGTATCATATGTACGAGCAGCGACGACCAATCAAATTCACTCGTGGCGACCTCACACTGCTCGCTAGGGTGAGGCATAGTACTGCAGTACCGAACGTCTAGCAGGATACGCTATCATTGAGAAAATCCTTTCAGCTAAGGGCAGAGTCGCACTCGGCCTCGCTACAGGTTTTTTCAAGTCGTGGTAAAATTATCCGGTTCTTGATTTTTATCCACTTTTCACGCACGCAGTATCCCTCCCATCGCCTCGTTTGCTACTGCCAAAATTACTACAGAAGTGGCCAAAAAAACACTGCTCGTGAAGGATCCCTAGAAGTTTTTCGCTCGAAATGACGGCGTTAAAATAGTTGTGAACCAATCAAAACAGGAACTGACCTCAGCCTCTGCACCCTTGGAATCCGTAGAACCGACGTGCCTTATAGCACTTGACGATAGAGTGGGCTGTCAGAGTTGAATGCACGGTCCGCGATCAGGTATAGAAGTTGAAAATATGGCGCCGGGAGAGTAGAGGGGTAAGCGACGAACACCCTTGTACCGGTTTCGCGACAAAAAAAAAATTGTAAGGGAAGGGTGCTATAGCGCAAGGTTCAGTGATGCCACCTTTTCTCCAGTGTCTCCGCCTCCAGACTCCGCCCTCAAGACCCGCCCTCCAGTGAAAAACGTAGCTGCAGGAAGAAAAAAAAAAAACATGAAAGTCGTCACTTGTACCCATCGTATAATGGTCCTATGGGGAATCAGCTGTGTGGGGGAGGTGTATTGCTGGAGAAAAGGAGTCAAAGGGCACGTACAAACTGGGATCAGAATGGTGTTCTATCTATTGCAGTTTGCATGTTTTTTCTGCTTTTCTTAAACTATCTATTGGAGTTGTTCGACCGAAAGACAATGCGCTGTTTGAGTTTAAAATTTTGTCTATTATAAAAACGAAATTAAACAAGATTAATTCAAAATAATCCTATTTGGGACCTTAGTTGTTCTTGGCTACGGCTTGATATTCAAGATTAAATCACGGTCACAGCGTCAATGTTTACACAGGGCATCCTTACAGTTGAAATCAACTGACCGCGACTGCGAGGATTCGTATGATCAATAAAGACTTAGTGGTTTGATTTCAGATGAAGCAAGTAGTACACGACAACTTAAATCCGTTCCTTGGTATTGCTTTCAATGAAAAGTCTGAAATGCTCTTGTTATGGAAATTCTGCTCTCGAGGAACACTACAGGTGAGCGTCAAACTAGTGCATAGGAGTCGTTTCAGAATCGAGCAAACGCCATGGATTCAACCAAGTATGTTCGCTGCGGATGCAGAGGCGTGTCAGGGAGCTGGTTTTGGCGCGGCGCCAGCCTGTTCTCCACCAATTGTTAGAGGGGCAAGAGACAACAGTTGGTGGAAACTATGCTGGCGCCACGCCAAACTGTGACACCTAGCGGCATCCGCCGCGAGCAACACTGTAGATGACATGTGTTAGTTTCGCCGCTTTTCTCAATGAACACGAAAAAAATTGAAATATGTCCGGGCTAACTGAATACAGTCGTGATACCTGCAAACCATAGGACGTGTGACGCGGCATAGATTATGATTATGATTATGATTTATTATCGGTTAGTAAAAACAAACAAAACAACACGTAATTATATAGCTCAGTGACCGATAAAACATCCAGAAAAAAAGAAAGGAGCATTGAGGGAGTGCAGGTGGTGCAGTTGGAGGCCTTGGCAGTGAAGAGCAGTGGGCCGCCAACACTGCAAGTCACGACGAGCGGAGCGGCTCCGGATACCAACTTAGTAGGTCCGTCAACCCCACCAAGGTCCACCTTTTGCGGAACGGGTTTGAGCAAATAATATATAAAGAGGTGATAACATAAAGCATGAAATGAAGATGAAATACGGTCATTTAGACTTCCGCTTGTAACGGCCAGCTCATGCATCAAGGATGCATTGTTACGGCAAGATAAAGAAATGCAGTCACTGAGGTAAGTAAAGGAATGGAAGGACATTTCTTTACTAACCTTAGTGACTGCATTTCTTGCATTGGAGGGCCAAAGCCGCTTTCTCCACCAATGATGCCTCCCAAGTCCACCAGGAATGGCAGGACAGGCTGCTCTGGCTGCCTTCTGGTTCACACCTCGTCGCACGCTTTATCGTTTACAGGAATCACGCCTACAAGTCATTGCTGTGAAAGCAGTAATTGCTCTTATGGCGTCAGCAAGCCGGAAAAGAAAACTTGAGAGGACTCTTTAGTGCAGTTTGGCTAGGTGGGGGCATTTTGAACTTTCGGTACTTCCCGTCGTCGTATCGAGCGATTAAGTAGGGATTCGTGAAATCTTGTGAAGCCATGAAGTACGTGATAGTGCAAAATGCCCTTCTCTCCAAGCCGAACTGTGCCAACATTCTTTCGATCTCAGATTCCATTATGAAACCGAAAGACAGCCATCATGATTGGTTTACCTGCTTTTTTTAGGATGTGATTTATAACGAGAACTTCGCTCTAGACGAGAAATTCCATGCAGCATTCGTCAAGGACATTACATCGGTTTGCAATTAAACTAGTTCTGTTCTACTGTTAAGGATAATCGCTAGCTTTCAGGGCTTGGAATACCTCCATCTATCAGCGATTGGCTATCACGGGGCTCTAACAACCTGGTCAACACTCATTGACCGTAACTGGCAAGTCAAACTGACAGATTACGGTACGTCTCGACGCAGAAGAACAAGACAATCGTAATTTGTCGCGTCGTCGCGCGCGGCGTGTCGTGCGGCGGTGCAGCAGCCCTAAAATGCAAAAATTTAAAAAATATCGAAAGTCCGCGAAAAGCAAGTGGGCGTGGTCAGCCTAGATGCCAAACCCTTTAGAGAATGGGCGGAGTCGGCCATGTGTCAATGCCCGGTGTTTCCAGTCAAAGTGTTTGTGGGAAACAGCAAAAGCAGAAGTTATGAAACAAGATTTGAGAATCTATGTCCGCGCTGACAAGTGGGCGTGGCCGTCGGGGCGGGCTCGCAGTGATGTCTGGCGTGATCTGCTTGATGAGTTGCCCGCCCTAATAAGTGTGGTTAATTTGATGTGAAAAGTGAGGGTGAATTTGGTTTGAAAAGGGGTGAATGGGGTGAATTTGGTTTGAAAAGGGTGAATTTGGTTTGAAAAAGGGTGAATTTGGTTTGAAAAGGGTGAATTTAAAGTGAAAATGGTATATATACCCACCTCCATCCTCCTCCCCCCCCCCTTACGTACGACAGCGAAGCTCTTGAGAGAAAAGTGGAGCATTTTTATATATTTATTCATCTTTGAGAAATTACGGATCATGTGTCGGAAGCTGGAAAAATCCTGAAAATGAGGAACGGGGGAAAGAAGCAGAAGCAAATTGCGGCGTATTTTCCGAAGATTTTTCCAAGCGGCAGAACGTGCCCTGATGGCCATTCTAACTCTAGCTAAATAATCAGCGTGCAGTGTGCCCATTCGACCCGATTTCCGAACAATTTTCTGAGTTCTGTACAAGTAAAAATGTTACAAACTTTTACCATTTACTACAGTTGATACTTATTTTAGGAATCGCTGACGCCGTGAGTAGATGGACAAAGCACGGAATTATTAACGAGGAAATACTGAAGGATGGAGAGGAAAAAACGAACGTTGCCCAAAAAACAGGTAAGAATGGGACAAAGCAATAATTGGCTTTAGTTCTGCTATTGAAGATCCTGTCTGAAAATGACAAACTTTTAACTATTCGTGTCGCCGAAGCACTCCACTCAGCGAATGCAGGAAAAATCATCAAAACTTCAATAAGTACGACTGAGATCCCGAGAACTGGAGAACTTTACGAAATAATTCACTATTTGATCCATATTCTTTAGCTATACTCTACGTCGCTCCAGAAATACGACTTGCTACTGAGCATAATAAAAATCGTCGGGTCGATCAAGCATGGGTAAAACAGGTTCATTTTAGCTTCATTTTCCATTTTCCTTATTCGAATGCAAAAATTAACCTATCTGCCACCGAAGGTGGACCTACGCGGGGCTGTGATGGATTTCAAAACTGTGTTTACCCCGAGCTACAGAGATTCCACTAAAACTCTGACTAGGATTCTTAGTGTTTGGGAGTGGTAAAGCGCTCGACGATGATCAAACCCTATTCGTACGACGCCATGCACTCAAATTCCGTTCGTGGTGGTTATGGCATTTGAATGTGGTTTGATCCACGAGGGGCACGCCGTAGGCTGGAGATCCCCAGCGAGGGGTTCGGCAATTTGCTGTGAGAAAAAAATTTTTCGATTGCTTATTTCTCACAGTTTTTCGGTTTCACTGTGTTACTCATTCTCTTCCCCCGCAGCAGCTTTTAAGTGAAAGTGGAAGAGTGAAGTAATTTTGGGAAAAAAAACCCCAAACTACGGGAAAGGGAAAGTGGTAGGAGTCTGGGAAAACCTGGGAAGATGGTAGATAAGATGGGGAAGAGAGGTCGTTCCAAAAGGAGGGGTTTTGAGGCGGGTTGAATTTTGCGAAATTTTTCCCCAGTGGCAGGAAATGCCCTGATTTAAACGTTTCTGCTGACAGTGAATCTGCCAAAAAGGGACTGAAGGTCTCATTAGGCTGCGTTCATACTTTGCAGCAGCGTCCAAAAGCAACCAGTGGCATCCACCAGCGTTCCTAGTCAGCAACCAGGAAAGTACAGCTGTCGATCTAGCGTTCCCCAGCCAAGCTGAGCGAAATTCGATCCAGATTTTGACCTCGGTAACACAGTACCGTGCGCATAGGTGGGCAGCTAATACAACACCCTGCCCTCATCGCGCATCTATAGGGATTCAAGAAGGTGGAAAGTGTAGTACTGGTAATCTGAACCACATATCATCAGTCTATTTTAGACACTGGAGAAGCGAAGATCTGCCGATATCTACGCTTTCGGAATGGTTATGTATGAGATTCTCTTCAGAAATTATCCGTACAGTGACAAAACGGACATCAGCGGTAAGGAATTGGTTGAGACAGTCGTTGAAGTACTGCTGGCGAAATGAATATTTAAGAGCTCACGGAGAAAGCAGCTGCAGGGGAAAAAATTTCTCGACCATCATTTCAGAGGGACAAACAAATCCATCCAGACCTACAGGCTCTTCTACAGGTACGCTGAAAAGGGGATTTCGTTGTAGAATTGAAGACGATTTACTTTGTTAAAGGATTGCTGGCATGACTCTCCCGACGCTCGTCCATCGATTCGACGTGTACGACTGTCCTCAGCGGCCATCCTAAAGACGTGGGTTTCAGAAGCTTGCCCGAGAAGCAGCCAAATTGTCTAAAGGCACGGCCCGCGATGGAGCATATAGCGGATTGAAATTTGGAAGAGAAGCTGCCATGTGACTCGTTTGTGAGGAAAAAATGCCAAAGGGAATGTTGGAAACGCCTTTAATCGGACCCCTGTAGCCTCAAATGACCGTATGGGTAAAACCTCTAGCCCCAAAAAACTGTACGCGTAAAAAGTCAAAAGACCGCGTGCTGAGAACGAGTCCAGTCGGCTGATCCCTCGAAATGAACCCCATGAGCCCACAAGAGGACAACAGAGCATCTGTTTCATGCGAATTGTCCGATAGCATCGCTTTTGGCTGCGAGCCAGGCTATGAAGGTGTAGTCTGGAGGCGGGGACCGGAAAAAGGGAAGTGTCACTGGAGCAACTTTGCCCCTTACTCCTTCACCTTGCAAGTTTTCACCGCGGAACTGGCACAAGGTTGTTCCGTGCGGACCACAGCACCCTTCCCACCCACTCTTTTGCATTTTCGTTGGTAATCGTGAACCGTTGCTTAAATAATTATTAAAGGCAGACTTCCCATTTAGCCAGCGAAAAGCTTGTAGATAGCGGGGTTGAGAGACAGCATTCTATGCGCTAAATGACATGCTCGTGGGAAAAAAATGAGAGGAAACCGTAAAGACCGCTCCAAATGAGGCTCTAATTGTGCCAAGCGAAAGACAAAGAATCATTGTGGAAATCTGGCTAAAGGCCAGAGAAAACAGCGAGAGAACATGGAAACAAGTAAGACAGCAGATAAGACATTTATCAACTTGCGGAGTCACTTGAGCAACCCTGCTCGTTATCGCTACTACCATACCGTTTTCTGACTTGAAACATATATAGAGTTGTTCGTTGCAGTCCATACATCTCTCCTTGCAAAAAGCTCAGATAATTATAAGTGATCGTGGGCTCCGCCTGTTATAAAGGCCAACTCCGAATTTCTGGGTCCTAGCGTGGGTGACCGAAAACCGTGAGCTTCAACCGAAATAGATACTGTTTCCGGCCAAACAAGTTTAAAAGTACCAACTTTAATTCCACTTCTCAGAACTTGTTTTTTCGGATAGGAATGCTTCCTTCCACCTTTTCTCTGCTATAGAATAGGGCGACAGCAATAGAAAAAGGCACTTCGCCTATGAGCCGCACCCCTAGAACGTATGAAATGGTGGGGGACTTGATAACGTAAGCTTTTACTTTGAACACTGACCTCAAGCCCTGCGGCTTTAAAATCCGACCAAAATGCTTAGGGAGTTAGCATATCTGACCGAAGTGAAACTTGTTAGTAAACATGAACTAGCAAAAGGAACTATCGAAATTGCAAAATGCCCCAAGTCCCCCTCTCCCTCTCTCTCCTAAGCCGAACAGCGCAGGAGTTCTTCACTTGTAGTTCGATAGGCAAAGTACTGGCGAATGGGTTTCCTTGCTTGAGAAGCTTTTTATCTGGATGCCCCTGGGATATGTCGCAACTGGGTGGTTCGGTGGGCCCAGGTTTAAGACGACGATCTGCTGGAAACGTCCAAAATAGTTTTACGATAACAAACCAGTATAGCAAATAATAAAACGAAGCATTCTGTCTGGATATTCAATATTTCACTAATGGCTATTGCATGCCCAAGCGAGCTCTACAATAAAAGAAAATATATCGGTGCATTTACCTTCAAATCACCTACATTCTTTGCAGCAAGCAAATTGAGCTATGTTTAGGAAAGGAAGTTTGGTGGATTCGATGACACGAATGATGGAGGAGTATGCGAACAATTTGGAGAAACTCGTGAGCGAGAGGACAGGAATGCTCGAGCAGGCAACTGTTCGAGCTGACAAACTGCTATCTCAACTCCTACCGAAGTATGGATATCCCGCTAATACTGCAATTTTTACAGTCTCCAAGACTTCCTAAGAGTTTTCATTAGGAAACCCGAACACTTCCTACCTTCC